GTTGCTATTTCAGGAGCCACATGTTTTTTTTTTAACTTTAAGAAAAAATATTGATCCAGGASAATGCAAAGACGATGCATTCCTTTGGTCCGTCCTAGAGCAGGTAAAAAACGACTTAAAACAAATTGACAACTGCACAAACTTTTTTTGTCACGTCTRCAACATTAACATAAGCAAACGATATCCATATTACACCAGAAACAGATCGAGCTGCAAAAATCACGTCAACAATAACAACCAAATAAATCTGAAATAATATTTTTTTAACATTGATTTATTGRMAACCTTGGTCCGAGGTCCTTTTTCCTTTCAACTATTTTTTTAACATTCTCTTACCCACACCCTCCTCATTCAAAAATCGATCACGGTCGAGGTTTTTTTAGGTTGGAGAATAATGATGCCAAGCAAAGGGAAAATAACGAGGTATATTATTTTTTTTCCAGCTGAAATCGTACGTCGAGTCTTTGCCGAATAAACTCGATACTAYAGTTTTTTTTGTTGGTCTGCAGTTTAGTGTTGGTCAGCGGCAACTTATATGTTTGGCACGCGCAATTCTTTGTCACACCAAGATCTTGGTCATAGATGAAGCTACAGCAAACGTAGACTCAAAGTACGTTCAATAAAGTGTGATTAATGATTAATTGATGATAAGGCAATTCCGTTATTTTTTTCACAATACTGACAATGAAATGATCGATGATTAGTGGTCTGGACGCAATTGCTTTTTTTTTGTTTGGTTTTTCTTTGTTCTGTTTGCTTGTTTGATGACAGAGCAATCATTTTTTTTCATAATGTTTTCGAGTATCTAAAATCCAATRTGGCCGCCATCTTGCGCTGGTTTTTTTAAGGACGATGCGTAGCACATCTTAAAGTATGTGTTAACTCAATACGTTTTGTTTTTTTTGAAATGATTGTTTTGTAGGACGAGTAAAATCATCTGGGACACCATCAACGAGCGCTTTAAGGACTGCACAGTCTTGACCATAGCTCATCGTCTTTTTCCCGTCATGCAAAGCGATCGCATTGTGGTAACTTTTACATATTGTTTCACAACTTCTAATAATTACTTATTTTTTTTCGTCCTGATCTGAATTGCTTATATTTTGATGTACTCGATGCCGTGATATATTTTTTTCAAAACTTTAGCAGTAAAGTTGTTAACATAAAAAATGATAATGGCTGTGCTTTTTTTTTTGATGAATCAGTATTGAAGTCTAAATAAGCTGGTGAAACATTTCTGGCTGTTTTTTTTTTTAAGTTTGCACAGTAAATTTGTTTAATTGTCCTTCAGGTATTGGATGCTTTTTTTATAAGAGAACTGGACTCGCCTCATCGTCTACTTCAAAACCCAAGCAGTTATTTTTTTTACGTCGTCAAAGACACCGGACCTTACGAAGAAAATAAGCTGAGAGAAGTTGTTTTTTTTTCTTATCWTGAAAAACAAAAACCAGGAAGTACATCGCATCAAAGGGAAAATGAGAAATTGCTGGAAGAAAAACAAGAAGAATTGCAAGAAAGTAAAAAGAATGATGGACAGGCCAACGAAGGATATTCTGTTGAAGATAATGCCGAAAATAAAAATGCAATTAATCTTTTTTTTATCCCACAAATTCGAATTGAAAGTGATACAACTTGTGACACAATGTTTTATTTTTTTAATCCAAATTTAGTTTTTATTCAATTGAAGTTAGATGTATATTTTGAATTTTTTTTTTGAGTGAATTTGTATATAGTAGAGGATTTTATCATCTTTTTAAATTTTATGCTTTTTTTCAATTAAATCGTCCCAAAATGGAGTTTCATTGCCTGCAAATTCCTCAGAGGTTTTTTTAACGATCCAAAACGCGTTTGGGGCGATTTGGACTATAATATGGACACTGGGCAGCCTGAGAGATGATATATTCAACATGCCTGCATTATATTAAATATTTTCAACTTTTTCTCGTGTGTTTAACGATATTTAGAGAATGTTACATCCATATATCTCCACTCTCATTGTTTTTTTACCACCGTWCCACTGCAGGGGYAGAAATCTGATAAGCCTTGCTGGGATTGGTTTTTTTAGCGTGTGAGCCACAACTGAATTCTGGTTTCTATTACCTTCGAAGTGCTGATTTTTTTAATTTAAATAATTGATGCAGTCGTGCTGGTCCGGTTCCGACTCGATGTTTTTTGGCTCTCAACCATGAAAAGCTTTTTGCCTCTGGGTTGGGTTAGGGTTATTTTTTGGTTTTTTTTCAAGTGCTGCACAGGAATTTATGTATATTTTTGTATATTTAAAAATGCTTTTTTTTTAATACCTTGACATTACCGCCATATTTGTACGATTCCCAGCTGGCGCCATCTTTTTTTTGTTGTAGGTAGTACTTGGTTACCCATTGACTGTGTCTTCCATATCGTCCCTTTTTTTTTACTTGGCTGATTATGTGCATCTTAAGGAGGTCAATCTGAAGGTATTCACCTTTTTTTGTTTGCATTGCAGTCCAGCTGCCATCGGGAACAGTCGAGAGCAAGCGAGCTCGGGAAGGGCCGAGTTCCGCTCGAACAGATGATGAAGCGCTTAGTTGCGAGTCTTTAATTTTTTTATCTTGCATCCCCAAAGCTGCCTTGCATCCTAAGAAACGGACATGATGTGATTTTTTTTTCTTTATGAACAAGTGAAGTACCATTGCTGTATTGTGTCACACAATACAGTTTTTTTTTTCTTAGACTTTCTCTTACTTTTAGATCGTTTTTACCTTACAACGACTTACCCGATTGACATCGATAGCTGATCCCGTCCTTTTTCATCAGACAAACTTCTCCATTACCGCAAAACTTGTTACTACAGGTAACCATAGGGCGAAGGCTGTACAGCATGTAGCTTCCAGTCGAGTCTGGCACAAGACCCTCAGGGTAGGAGAGGTGAGTACCGTTGTTCAGCTGACACAGACCTGTCTTACTGTACCAGTTGAAGCTGTGACATTTCGAGTTATCTTCACAATTTTTTTTACAGCTGATAATAGTACGAGTACCATAAAAAGACTTGATCACGTGATTAATTTTTTTTTGACATGACATTCTATAAGATGCCATACCACAAGTGTCGGCGTAAATTTGTTTTTTTTGCAACCACTTGGCAAAGCAAAACACGATGACAACGACGTTCTAGAAAAAAATTTTTTTTGATTGGCTGACGACCATGTTTATATCAGAGGACAGTGGCACGGCTTACCTTTTTTTTTTCGGTTTTTCGCTCGAAAATCGTAGAAAAAGTTTATAAAAGAACTATAAATTTTTTTCTTGTGTCTCTGTCGGGCCGTTTTACATATACAAGTATGATTATACGATCATGGTCAGTGGAAACGAACTTCATTTTAGTTTTCTATGCTTACTGGCCTTATCTCTGTGTAGTTTTAACAGACACATTTTATGATTTTTACAAATAATGAATTATAGAAAAAAAGCTTTTTTTTACGTACAAAAACGTTTTGGCGATTGATTTGTCCTGTATCTTTTTCTTTGCGCCACAAGAAGGTTGATTTGACAATGTCAACTCGTTAACCGATTAGCTTACTGAAATTAAAATGYAGCTTAATTCTATCACCAAAAAAATGATAAACAAATGTTTAAAGAAGCCCAATTTTTTTAGTAAGTTAACAGGGTCTTTTGTTCAGTTTGTTTGTGTTACTTGTTTCTATTTTTTTTTTACGTTGATTCTAAAAAAGGTTTTGTAATTATATAAAGAAATAATAATTATTTTTTTAAAATTTATAGGTTGAAACAAAAGCCAGTAATACTGCGTAAATTTTCCATGTTTTTTTACAAAAGTCATCGCCGTTCCCTTATTAGTGCCATTAGTACGTGCATAAAAGTTTTTTTTTACTACTTTTCCCTTGTCACTTAAAAAATTTGGTCCTTTGATTTTCAGTTACAATAAAAACGTTAACTAAGTAACTTACCATTCTTTCAAATGTTTCAGTTACCGAGATTTGCCTTCTTCTGAAAACTTGGATCACTTTCAAGTTGAGAACACACGCAATGAGATATTTTTTTKARAGCACCACTCAAGGTGTATGCATAATCAATAAATAACCTATATTGTTCTTTTTTTTTGGCACCTGACACAAACTKCTTTAATCAGCAACCATTACAAAATTTTTTATTTTTTTTTTTATTGAATTTCTCTACATATTGCAATTTCAAAAATTGACGATAAAGTTTTTTTTTGATTAACGAGAATATTATAAGTAATGTTTACAACATGAGCGGCCGTGTTGTTTTTTTTATTACAATCTCGAGCCGCAGGCGAGAGATTGTAATTCCCATACAACACGGATTTTTTTGTTGTAAACGACTTATAAAACTCCAACACAAATTAACATGAATTACAGTGATT